GGCTCTATCTGCGACCACCCCCCCCCCCCCCCCGCCCCGCGGCCCTCCAACTTGGTTCACTCTTTGGCATGTCACCACCCTCCAGCTGCCTTCCAGGAAGGATACACGCTAGCCCAATTCCAAGTCCACAGACATTACTGAGGAAGGAGGTCTGGGGAATGAGCCAGGAGGCACACAGCAGGAGCCACGGCACCAGCATCGAGGGCACGACCACGCCAAAGACCAGGGCCCTCCGCATGCGAGAGCGGACGGAGTTGACTCCCAGCATGGCAAACGCCACTGGGGTGAAACCTCTGGCATCCTCCACCTCCCCCAGCTTCGACAGCGAGGACACAGCTTCAAACGACAGGAAAATGATAGCAGAGAAGATGGCGAAGATCACGGTGAAGAAGCAGTGGCGGACGGTGCCCACGGTTCTCTCGAAATTGCCAGCAAAACGCCAGATGATAATAGCACCGCAGAGCAGGGAGACAGGATTCTCATAGACAAAGATGTACGTCACCAGCCTGTAAACTGCAGAGGGAGCAGGGTTAGAGGCTTGGCAGTGGGGGCTCTAAGGAGGGCAAGCCAGGTTACAACCCACCTTGGAAAGGGGGAGTAGCTGGCTGTCAGGGCCAGCGAAAATCAGCCAGGAGCCACAATAGGCAGGGGGAGGCAATAGTGAAGGACCCAAGACTCAAAGGAGAGCTGTGAACATCCAATCCTTGCTCTTTCCCGGACCTGGAGCAAGTCCGTGACTAGTTCCACGTGGGGGGAAAAAAAAATAACACTTTTTAGCATGGGATGGTCTTTGAATTTGTAATGTGCTTTAGAATCCTTTTTTTTTTTTTAGGTTTCAATACTGACCTATCTCACCGGGCAGTTTGAGGGTTAATTAATTGTAACAGCTTCAGGGTGGATTGAGTGGGTGTCACTTAACACTCTTTGTGCCAGTCTCCTCGGCTGTAATCCTGACCTCTCCTTCCATAGTGGCTGTTCAGAGGAAGAAAAAAGGGACCATGAATTATTTTGTACCTAAAAAGATCATAAAACTATCACTAATTATATAGAGAACTCAGAAGTCTTCCTTGAAAGCGCGTATCCAATCTTACAGGTATGCTTGATATGCCCATGAACCCCACACTCAGAGAAGCTGTGAACTAAAGGGGGGTAAGGGGAGCTCCGTTGACACTGACATTTTGCATTTGTCTACAAGGATGTGCTCTGTGTATCCAGGGCGGGTGGAACAGTTTGAACAGGGAGGCAGGCTATGAACCTTATGCCTCAGGCCATCTCTGTAAGGCTGCATCATCTCAAGAGTACTTCATTATTTGCTGAAATCAGTCCAAGTACAAACTGAAATTCCAGTATAAATGTGAAGATTCTAGAAGCAACTCTATACGGTTTGGGTATTAGACACCCCCAAGGCTCCAGTTCCAAAACAACACACAATAAAAAAAACCTGTTGCTGTCTCAATTGCATGACTTGATAGCTCTGCGACGCCCCCACATTAAAGCCTGTTTCACCTAAATAATGGAGAATAATAAAGCCTACGTCATGGGATCAAGATTAATGCTCGTGAGTGTGCTTTGCGAAACAACAAAAGCTATACAATTTTCCCATTTTCCTCCCCAGAAAAGAAGGGGGAAGAGACAGAGCCTAGGTTTGTCTCTCATGAGCGGACGTTTATATTGAATCGATCTGCAAAATTCCTCAGCCGTAGATGATACAAACACCTTTCCCAAGGCACAAGATGCCTCCTCTTCCCCCCTCCCCCCCTCCCCAGGAGTTGGGAATCAGAGTCAGGGTTAAGATGCACACGAGGAAGCAGAAGAAATTCTAAACCCCAGAGAGGCCAGGACGCTTCTAGGGGTAGCCACAGACGATGCTCAAGTGTCTTGATGGAGAGAGAAACATTGTTCCCAGGGGGCGGGGGCAGGGGGGAGTTAGGCCCTCCAGCAAACGTCGGTGTGTATGTGACGGGGAGAGGGAGAGGAAAAATCCTCGGGGAGCGAGCCTGGGTGAACGAAGCCGGTTTGCTAGCGAATGGATGCGGGGCCTTGACCAGACGGGCGGCGCCGGGAAAGGGGACGAATTCGGGTAGGGAAGGATTACAGTGATGACGAAGATGGGACTCTGGAGGGACAAGGACGCGGGATACGGGGCTGGTGCTCCGGGCGGGGAGATCGATGTGCGGGCGGAGTGGCTGGAGGTGAGCCCCGACCGCGCGGGCGCGAGGAGGCCGGAGCCCAGGGCCTGGCGAGGTGGGAGGAAGAGGGCTGGCCCCCGTGGCCCGGCCCCGCCCCCGCTCACCTTGCCAGTTGCGCAGGGCCTCGGACCGCAGCGAGAGGCCCGAGGGCGCCAGGGGCGGCTGCAGCAGGAACAGGCGGGGCCCGGACACCAGCAGCGAGAGCAGCGCGGTGAAGAAGGTGGCGGATGGCACCTCGGGACACAAGGACCAACTCCGACACGCGGACTCCGAGGCCGCCACGGCCGCCATCGCTCCTGCGCCCCTCCTCGGCGCAGGCTGATCCTCGGCTCCTTCCGCCTCCCTGCGGCTGTCTCCCCTGGCAACCGCGACGGCGGCGGCCGGAAGCCCCGCCTCCCCGAGGCCCCGCCCCGCGCCGAGCTGCCCAATCCGGTCGCGCAGGCCGCAGGGAGTCGGAGCAGCGCCCTCTAGCGTGCAACGCTGGGGCCTCGCACAAGTGCCGTGCTTGGACCGCTTGCCGGGCGGGGGTTTGGATTTCATCATCTCCGCTCCAGATACCGAATGAATGGTGTCTTGCGGTTTACAGAGCCCTTTCACACGCACGCGCACGCACCTGCCTTATCTGTGCTTATCCCCATTACGCCGATGAGGAAGCTGAGGTCTGGGGAGGGCCCTGAGTAATTCAGTTGAATGGCAAAGACGGATTTTGAACTCAGATCCTCCCCCTGCTAGGGCCTGGAATTGGCTGGGACTACCGCCGAGGCAGCCTTCAGTGGTGGATTGGAGAGGAGGGAGCAGGAGATGAGGCCCGAAGCGTTAGAATGTAATAGAACCCGTTAACACTCAAGGTGTATTTCAGCACTTCAAATCCGACAAGCGGCGTCTCCAGAGTACAGCTATTGAGACAACTGAATATTCTTTCCCTGATTCCAGATGCCTAAGGAGGCGAGGCACCTTGCCCGAGGTCACAAGCAGGGAAGTGGTAGGGTTAGGATTTGAATCCGGTTTGCTAGGGTCCGATTTTCTGCATCTTTAACTATTTCCCTTTGCCATCCCGCCTACTGCTACCTGTATGAAAATTTGACTTGAAATCATGCTGACCACCGAAAACTAAACAATGCTTCGCTCTCTGTGCTGGAAATTCATATCCATTCTTCGTCCCTACTCTGCCCACTGCTAAGTTCCGGCAGTGTCTGTGTTCCCATGGACCTCAGAAAGGGAACCTGAGATTCTTTCCATCCTCTGTGTTCAGTACTAAAATATAACTATATGATTTTCCGGATATAAATATAAAGCAACGGGACACATTTAAATGAACACTGGGTGTTTTTAAACTCATGCTGCTCATGGTGCAGCAGTGAGCATAAAAATTAATTAAGGTTTACTCAACAGGAAGCAAAATATGAATCAGGAGTGTGGCGGAGCTGCTAAAATCAGCCAGTGGGAACTGGGGTTGCTGCAACAAGGTCCAGGCCCTGGAAAGAGGAAGGGGTTGGTGGTCCCAGCTCCTCTGTGCCAGTCCTGCAGCTCCAGGAGATCTGGGACTACTTCGAGACACACACTCTGAAAAAGGATGTAGAAAATTAGAGTTAGGGTGCCTGGGTGGCTCAGTGGGTTAAGTATCGGCCTTTGGCTCAGGTCATGATACCAGGGTCCTGGGATCGAGTCCCACCTTGGGATCCTGGCTCAGCGGGGAGTCTGCTTCTCCCTCTGCCTGCTGCTCCCCCTGCTTGTGCTCTCTCTCTCTCTGACAAATAAATAAAATCTTAAACAAAAGAAAAGAAAAGAAAAGAAAAGAAAATTAGAGTTTGTTTAACAAAAGGAGCCCGGATTGGGAAGGAAGGGGGCGGGGGGACTTCAAATCATATCTGATAAGGAACAATTAATTAAAGGAACCAGAGAGACTTCTCTGGAAAAGCTTCAGGGGTCCTGACCACTACCTGTGAACTATCTAAAGAGTTTTCCCAAAGGTGAGGGAGTAGATTTATTCTGTGTCACTCCAGAGGGGAGCACTGAGACAGAAAGGTGGAAAAGACAGAGAGACCACGTGACATAAGGGAGAACTTTCTGACAGTTTGGGTTATCTATTTGTGGAATGAGTGGCCTTGCTCAGTAGTGAGCTCCCCGTCACTAGTAGTGTGCAAGCAGGGGCCATGTAGTGACTTGATGAGAATATTGAAGATACTCAAGCATCAGGTTGGAGGTGGAAGTAGATGGCTTTTAAAATCCCTTTGGATACTCCAGTTCTAAGTTTCCATAAACAAACACAAACGCATGGAGGGTTGATACATTTGCCACTTATCGGGGCAGGGGGTGGGGTGGGGGAAACGGGTCCAGGATAATTGCACTTGCTCTCCTGACAGAATGAGAACTGTAGTGATTTCACATATCCTACAGTCAAGGGAGGCTCCAACAGTCTCCTATCTCTCTCACTCTGCCTCCATGTCATTTTTTTCCAATTATACCTCCAGAAAACCCCAAGACCTTCTCTCTCTCACTTTTTAAAAGATTTTATTTATTTATTTGACAGAGAGACAGCTAGAGAGGGAACACAAGCAGAGGGGAGTGGGAGAGGGAGAAGCAGGCTTCCTGCCAAGCAGGGAGCCCAATGCGGGGCTCGATTCCAGGACCCTGGGATCATGACCTGAGCCAAAGGCAGATGCTTAACGACTGAGCCACCCAGGCACACCCCCCTCCCCACCAAAACCTTCTCTTAAGCTCAAGAGATAGAGAACTGGAAGGAGCAAAGCAGAGCATTCTTTATCAGGCAGCTCGAGGATGCGGCACCGAGGGACGGTGAATCATTTTTGTTCTAACCACTTTGTCCTCAGTCTGCTAAGAGACTTCCAGGCCTCAGATGTGCTACCCAGGGACACCTCTGTTTATGGTTCCACCAGGCATCCTCTGCCCACTTGGAGAGTGTCTGGTTCTCCAGGTGCCAGACTTTCAGGCTTTGGGACAGAAAACACACACACCAGTGTGGATGTTTTTAGATCAAATCCATGGGCAAATGCCGTTGACTCTGCCTCACACACTCCCTACCCGGCAGCAAGGGTGGTTTTTTGTTTTTTGTCTTTTTAAGATTTATTTATTTGAGAGAGAGAGAGAGAGAGAGTGAGCGGGGGAAGGAGCAGAGGGAGAGAATCTTCAAGCAGACTCCCTGGAGAGCGTGGAGCCTGACATGGGGCCTGATCTCATGACCTATGAGATCACAACCTGAGCCAAAACAAAGAGTCAGATGCTTAATTGACTGAGCCACACAGGCAACCCTGGGGGTGGTTTTTAAAAAAGTAAATCACGGGACACCTGGGTGGCTCAGTCGGTTAAGCGTCTGCCTTTGGCTCAGATCATGATCCCAGAGTCCTGGGATCGAGGCCCACCTCAGGCTCCTTGCTCAGTGGGGAGTCTGCTCCTCCCTCTCCTTCTGTGTGTGCCCCCCAAATAAATAAATAAATCTTAAAAAAAAACAACAACTCAGAAGAGCCTAAGTGCATCCCATGTGTCCTGTTCCCTGAGAATCTTCCTCAGTCCATCTTTTACCAGCTTACATTCTCTGGGGGAGACAGAATAATGCCCCCCAAAGGTGTCCATGTCCTAATCCCCAAATCCAAGCACCTGATGCCTCACTTTGCACAGCTGAGACAGCTCTGGGACCAGTGCTAACCACCCATCTTGGTGGGTTGGGGTGCTCCTGGATTTGCGCCCCGCCCCCCATCCCAGGGCAGGTCTGCAGAAGTCACAGAATGACTGCAGGGCTCCCCAGGGCTAGGCGTGGGGTGGGGGACTGCGCCAGGGGTGCAGGACATCAGGTCCCTAGGCAGGGGGCGGGGGAAGCCCCCAAGGGGTCCCGGCCTCTCGGCCCGAGCGCACTGAGCAGCGCGGCTCCTTGTCAGCCCGCACTGGCCTTCCTGCCTCGGCAGCTGTGGAAGGATGGCCGCAGTGCTGATCGGGAAGGGCAGCCAGTTCTCCCACTCCAGCTTCATTTAGCCGCCCTGGAGCCTCCAAGCCACGTCCTTACTGCCCCCTGGTGGACAGCTCGGTGCAGGGTCCCCGTATGATGGAGAAAAGGCCCCGTCCCAAAGCAGAATATCGCCCTCTGCTGGCCATCTCGGGAAGCGGCTCACATCCAGCCGGATAGTTTAATCTGGGGCGGGGGGGACACTCCAAGGTAAGGTAACTGCAGCCTCCCGTGGCATTCATTTGCCACACCACCTCTCTCCAGTTCTCTTGTTCCACACTCCCAGGATGGGGGCGCCCAGCAGCAAGCCTGGTGCCTAAACACACATCCCCCCAGAGGACGGAATGCCAGGTCCCCCCAGCCCTTCTGGATGGCATCCCGGTTTCCACAGTAATCCTCAGGATCTCCCCCCACCCCAGCACTTGGCTTCAGTGAGTCATGGAAAGTGAGGTAGGCAGAAGCCAAACAGTGGTAACCCTCCCGGGCTGTGATTGCTCTCGGGACAGCCGGAAGTGTAGAGGGGTTAAGCTGGGGGAGTCATGACCCATTCATGTTTTAGGAAGTATGGGGAGGGGCACCTGGGTGGCTCAGTTGGTTGACGTCTGCCTTCGGCTCGGGTCATGATCCCGGGGTCCTGGGATGGAGTCCTGCGTCGGGCTACTTGCTCAGTGGGGAGCCTGCTTCTCCCTCTGCCCCTCACCCTGCTCATGCTCTCTCTCAAATAAATAAATAAAATATTTAAAAAAAAGAGAAAGTATGGGGAAATGAGCACTGTCAACATTGCTGAGAGGATTGAAAATTGGTACAATTTCTGTGGCAGGAAGTTTTGCAATGTCTTTCAAAATGACTGAAGTGTGTAGCTTTGAGCCAACAATTCCATCTCTAGGATTGTAAGCTACAGATGTTCTTGCATTTGTGGAAAATGTCTTATATAAACAGCCGGTCATTGCAGTGTTGATTGCAATAATCAAACGACAGCCCGATGACTGTCATTGCAGGAATGATTAATATAGTCTGTCACTTCAAAGGAATACTCTTATCATAAAAAAAAACAAACAAAATCAGACGAAAAAAAAACACAACAAACTGAGGAAGCTATATCTCAATAAAGAATGATATCTAAAATATTTTGCTGGGTGGGAGAAGCAAGGTTAATAACAGTGGATATATTGCACTATCATAAATATAAAGATGGGGGGAGATAAACATTCATTTTTATGATGTTAAATGACCATTGCAGTTTCAAACTCCCCAGGGTCAGTGGGAGCCCCCACTGAGATTGCATTATACCCTAGTTTCCCTCCACAGTCCACTTCCTTCCCTTCCCTAGGTCCTGATCCCAAGAGTGCTCCCCCAATAAATACTAACCTCTATCTCAGAGTGTGCTTCCCGGAGAGCCCAACCTGAATTTTACTGGAAGT